GTGTCGTGAAAAAAAAAAAAAAAAAAAAAAAAAAAAACGATCACGATGGCAGCAAGCTGATGTATTGACCTTGCTCGACCTCGATACCGAACGAAAATGATTGATTGATTGATTGAAAAAAAAAAAAAAAAAAAAAAAAAAAAAAAAAGACACGATCAGTGTTTACAGAGTACAATGTCTCGACTCACGATATATAATAGAAAGTAGGGAACGACCAGTTTGAAAGAAAGAAAAGAAAAAAACCAAGTTCTACTGCAAATTTTCCTCTTAATTCGACATGCGCGAACGATCGACTTTCGCGGATATGAGTGTTTGTTTCTTTTTCACAGCAGAGAACAGCTAAAGAGAAAGCTAGAAGAGAGGAGATCAATCGAGATTCCATCATGCCGACGTGTCAGGTCGATCGTTCGCGTACCAGTAGCATATTAATTAATACTCGTATACGATCCGATTTTTTAGAGCATGTAATGTACCGTGAATATGCTCTAACACTGAACTGAGTTTGAATGTGCGTGTGCGTGCGTGTGTGCGTGTGTGCGCGTGTGTGTGTGTCCAATGATTTTGAGAAAGACAGGACACTTGTCTTCTTCGCTCTGTATGTGAAACACAGCGCGAATGGTGCGTGCCTGAGAGCGAGTGAATGACGCGGTTGACACTGTTGAGAGTTGTTCTTTTTTTTTTTTTTTTCTCTCCACCCACCTCCTACTCCACGTAACTATCGTTCGCATGAATCTGGGATGGCATCCGTTTTATAAATATATTCTGGCACATTTTCTTTCAGTTACTGGACACCCTCCCGGTGTGCCAAGATTTTAATCGACAAGTGTGCAACCGTCCCGCCTGCAAGTTTATCCATCTCAGTGACGGTGAGTTTCCGCCCGTAACCACGCGCCTCTTGCCGACTTCCGGAAATCGAAACTTGCCTTTTTTCTTCTTCTCGTTCCTTCTGGCAGCCACCTTTGTTACTTCGTTTCTCTGCCTCTCGTTTCGTCGTGTTTGACACTTTTGTTCGATTAATTGAATTTTCTTTCAGTGGCGTAAAATGGTTGGTACATAATGGTGACACAGATCGTTGCTAGATTATGCGAGTTCGTGGAAAATTTGAAAAAAATTTGTTTAATTAACACGTTGAACGTCGTATGTTTTTGATCCTCTGGATTACCTTCTTTTTTTTTTTTTGTAACTGGAAGTAAATAATATTTATTATATTATTATTATTATTATATATACATAAAATAATCGCATGTTACAATTTTGTATCCATTTCATGCAACCAAGTAGAGTTTTTCATTCGATTCTAGTGCGCTTGAAATCTTCGCCTGAATCAAAGTAAAAATAAAATCCCTGTAATGAGCAATCTGTAGCACCATATAGTTGAAATTCAACTATAAACAATAAGCATGCCATAGCTACGCGGCCTGAAAGAAAAATTCTTTGCGCGAAATATGACTGACGTCAGCGCATTGAACAAATCGTATTTGATTCATACGGCAAGTCAACGTGTTAAACTACGAATTTATGGTTTACTTTGTCTAAAAGTTGTTCGAATCAGGATTTGTCGTCTCACACTCGGCTACAGACGTCGCGGCCATCGAATAATAACCGGCCCCATGGAGCATTTGTATTTTGCCGGCCATTTTGCTGTTGGCCACCGCGCGTTCACCGCAAAACAATCACCGCTCGCAATATGCGACGGATGACAAATCTATTGGCCACCGCTGTTTCGAAACTGCGTCGCAACTTCGTCAAAGTTACAAATTACTCGACTGGCCGCCAACTAATAAAAATAATCGCCCGCCATTAGGCCACGTGCATATAGCGAGCGATCGCTGGGATTTCGTGTCGAGCTCGTGGAAATTGTAGAAAAAGGAAAGGGGGGGGGGGGGGGGCGTTGAAATCACTGACAATTATTTCACCGACATTGTTTAGATACCGACAAATGTTATTACTGATGTTATTAAACGTCGATTCTAAGATAGGTAAAGCGATTCAAGCTGATAATTTGTATTACATACAAAAGATAAGTTTATTAACGTTAATTGGTTAATTATTGTAAATTATATATTAATTGTACTTGCGAGAGAGAGCTATTAAGGGGTCAGGATAGTTTGAGATTTTCAAAAAATCGATTTCTTTTTTTTTTACTTTAAATAGTCTGAAGTTTTAGAAATAAGGTACAAAAGGTTCTAACCTTTAAGGGGATGTTCTAGTGTTTTTTTTAAGTTTGTTAGGGAATTTTTTGCAAAGAAACTATTACACCTTTCGCAGTCAAATTGACAAGGTTTATTTGTACGTATTTCAACGACGTTTTGAAATTTTTTGAGAAAACAAAAGTTAAAATTAGTGGCACTGCATACTCTCAAACATAGTCGCTTTTAAAAAAGATCGTCCATGATTCCGGCCATTCTGCTTGTCGGAAATGAAAATAAACGTGAATGTTTCTTAATTAATATGAGTTTGGCTATGAGCAAGTACCAAAAGAAAAAAGTCGGTAATTGAAAAAGTGGCGATACTTTGAAGTTCGATTATCGATTTTTGCATGTTTTTGTTAAACTTCGGAAGCCTAAAAAAAATATAAAAAATAAAATTTTTTGGTTGATTCTGGTAGGGGCTATAGTCACACATGTACCAAATTCGTACTTAAAATTTCGAGTCAATTGGTCAAGTAGATTTTGAGATATCACGGACACCGTTCTGAAAAACATAGTTGCCAGAAAAAAATGCTTTTAAAGTTTAGTATTGCGGTAACAATGACGCTGGTCGTCGCTGTTTCCTTCAAACAACCACAACTTCGTCAATTTTACAAGTCTACATGTAAGGTTACATCTCTTCAAGAATATGCAAAAGAAAAAAAAAAGAAATTGATTTTTTTCAAAAGTTCATACTGGAATTGTTTATAATGACAAATCCGCGGCTACGGAATAATTGAATTTGCGATTTCAACTTGCCGGCGTTTATATAAACAATGTCGGCGAAATGGAAACATTGTCGGTAAAATAATTGTTGGCGTGTAAAATAATAATAACAGTCAGACTCTCGAAACTATTCTACTTTCAATCTTACGTCCAGTCTAATCGAGGATCGTTTGCACATTTTCAGGAAACGTGGAGGTGATCGAGAATCGCGTGACCGTGTGCAGGGACGCAGTGAAGGGCGCGTGCATGCGGCCCCAGTGTAAATATTATCACATACCGGTCGCGTTGCCGCCAGCGCCTCTGATGGCGATCACATCGCCTGCGACACCCTAGTTATTCCTTCTCGTTTAGCGGATCTGTATGTAACTCACACGACACGACACGACGCGAGGCGAGCGGCGAGGGAGCCGGCGCAAGTCAAAGGGAAATGAAGAAAGAAAAGAGAAGCGGAGCTCGAGGAAAGAAGAGAAGAGAAGAGAAGAGAAGAGAAGAGCACTTTCCGGAAGACACGGGGTTTTTTTGTTTCTTTTTCTGCCGGGTCGCGAAATCGTCGAACAAGAATCGACGAGAGAGAAACAAAGAAGAGAAACAAAACGAGACGTATCAACGGGGAACGTGTGTTCCAATGTTTTCTTCCTCGTCGTTCTCTTCGTCGTCGTCGATGACATCGAAAGCGAACCCCGAGACTCGATTCTACTATTTCATCCTCCTCTGCGAATCTCCTCCGATGCGTAGGTTTTCGTCGAGCCCAAGATATAGATCAGGAGAAAAAGGCTAGACCCGTATATATATATATATCTCGAGCACGGATCAAAGAGGGAAAGGAAACGACGGAGAAACGAAACGTCGTCGTTGAAGAACCAACTCGAACGAATTCGTTTCTCTGCCTTGTGTCTTCCTCTTGTCTCCGTGCGAGCGCGGTCCCTCGAAGATGAAAGGGAGGAGGACGTACGAAATTAAATTCGTTCGCAGAAACAATAATCCTCGGAGTCAAAGCAAGTCCTCGAAACGGGCTTCGTACGCGACGCAGCCGATTGTCCTGCGAGAACGTGTTTCTCGATGTCGGAGCGACCAAAAAAAAAAAAAAAAGAAAAAGAAAAGAAAGAAGTCAGAAAAACTCAGCAAG